ATTAATTCGTATTAATTAGAATATTAAGATAATATTAGTTCTAAGCTGAAGAACGAAGACAACCGACGAGGGAACTTAGTTTTTTATAGGTTTAGGCTCAAGAAAGAAGTCATCCGCCGAGGGATTTTAGTACCGGTAGTATTAGATAGTTAAGATTTAAGTTATTTATAAGGTTTATTGTAAAAGGTGGGTAGATGTGGAACTTGTGATTCCATCTATCTGCCTTGGGCCTCCACGCGCAGCAACCTCCTCGTGGTGAGGCCTGGGCAATCGGTATTGTCATCGGTAAAGTACTGTAAACTGATGACAATATCGAGCTAATGGCTGCGAACTTTGAATCTATCTCATAAAACCACGTTCTATATTACATCGAACCAGGGATTATTTTAGAAATCGATATGAGATTCAAAGTGTTCTAAAAATGTCTAGTACTTTGAATGTTTTAGAAAATTATTTGAGATGAAGATGTATGGAACTACTGAAAATTACTTTAGATTCCTTTCCCTTATTCTATAAATTCTTTGATTGGAATATGACTGGGGTTATAGAACCCCCGGTGGAGGCGCCAGAGACCCTGTGTGGTGAGATCGTGGGGTCATAGAGCCCCCGGTGTTGGCACCAGAGCCCCCTTGTGGGGAGACCGTGGGGTCATAGGACCCCCGGTGGAGGCGCCAGAGACCCCGTGTGTGTGAGATGTACCCTACGAGCAAAATTATTGAGATATCTGACTATTGATTATTATAAAACAGATCAGGAGCAATTTTTGGTACCATAATATTTGTGTAAAAAGGTCATTTACTACCTATTTTGTTAACAACAAATTGTTACTTTTTCTTTTGCGAATATCTTATTAACTATTAACGGTGCTGGGGGAGCCATTTCAGATTCGGAAGAAGCAAATTGGGAACAATTTTTTGAGATATAAATCGTTAAGATACGTTAACATTCGGCGTCAACTATTTTCCGATGATGATAGGTCTATCCTATACCTAGTCGAAGGTATCATTGACGATCAAAATACATTACATGGCATTGAATACCACAGCTTAAGAGAGTGGTTTACATAAATAAATATAATGAAATTTGATCGTATTGATTCTCTTCATTAAGATCCAATTTGATTGAGTCGATTTTGAATCTACACTTAATATGCAATAGGTACTATATATATACGAGTAATATTGCGTTTCGTAAGTTATGTAAGCATTATCGTAAATTACCCTCCCTAGTTACACGAATGCATATTGTCTATACAAAACTATGGTACGTCTGTATGTACCTATGAGTTCTTAAATTGCCGCGGATAGTAGATAATTTTCCAGTAGGCGATTAAACCGTACAAGTGACTGTAATCTTTTCGCCGTCCAGTACAAATGTCTACATCTACAGGTAAAATATCTATACTTACGGCAAATATATGTATTAGAAATAAAACATTTTCCAAACAACACATTCACATGGGATGAAGATAATTAAATTGTTATTCGCCTAATAGGCACTGTTATTGATCGAATGGTGTTTTTTTTTAATAAGTAAATTCTTGGAGAACATAAGCGTTGGTCATAGCAAACTAACTATCGTATTAAAATCGCAGTAATTCCACAAATTATTATAAATTCTCTATGATTGAAGTTGAAGCGGTATCCGTTCAAATCTCTCTATATGAATGTTATGTGTGATTGGGATTAAAGTGAATTCCACGTGACTGTTAAAGTTTATGTTGCGGTTTATAACATTCTGTGACTGTAAGTAATGTTTGTATAAACATTTCTCATGAAGCAAAATATTTTAGTTCGCGTTTTTCCTTGCTGGATATTTCTTAATTTTCTTATGATTATATACTTTAATATAATTAACTAACATAATTTGTATAATTAAAATAACAAGCATGTGTTTTATATTGCAAATAATTGTAGTGTACAAAATATAAAAAATTATTTTTATCTTTTATGCATGTAATGTAAACAAATTGTTTTGCAGGTGATAAGAAAAAAACTTGCTCTACAAATGGCATAAAAGCAGTAAGCGAAGAATTCAGTCCCACTGGTTAGAATTCTTCTATCATTTTTATGAAGAAGTCCTTTCAAATTATTGTTCTATGTTTCAACTATTAGATCAATATTTTATAGAACACCAACATATTCGATATAATCCCTTGAAAGGAGAATGGGTACTAGTATCGCCACATCGTATGAAACGACCATGGGGAGGACAAATAGAGTCAAGTACAGAGGAAGACCTTCCAGATTATGACCCTAATAATCCTCTTTGTCCAGGCAATATTAGAGCTAATGGACAGGTGATATTTCCGTATATCTTTCTCAATTATATAATTGTAACAACATTTAACTCTTACTTGTCTTTTACTACTTTTAGGTAACTCCAATATATGAAAACACATACTCATTCATCAATGATTTTCCTGCATTATTGGAATCAGTTCCTAATCCAACAAAGTCAGAAGATGAATTATTTCAAATGGACTCGGCCAGAGGCACGTGCAAAGTAATGTGCTTCCATCCAAAATCAAACGTAACAATAGCTCTTATGAAAGTAGCTGAAATCAAGGAAGTGATTAAACGGTATGTCTATAGTAAATGGATTCTCTGTGATCCAAATTCTTGAATAACAAGTATTGTTCGGCATCAGATGGATTTTTGAAATGCTTGAATTGGGGGAGAAATGGACCTGGGTGCAAATATTTGAGAACCGTGGTGCATTGATGGGATGCAGTAATGCACACCCTCATTGCCAAATTTGGGCCAGTTCTTTTCTACCAAATGAAGCCAAAATAAAAGATAAATATCTTAGTGATTATTATAATCGCAATAAGAAACCACTTCTTATTGATTATGTGCATAAAGAGCTCTTTAAAAAGGTGGGACAGATTAATACACATTGTACCCTCACGAGCAAACTTGGCTTCTGCCAGGGGAAAAACAGTGCAGGAGTAGGGCCTTCTATCACCTGGTCTCGGGAATTATTGAAATTTATGTCAAATTAACATTCAATTTAACATGTATTTCGGTACTTGAAATAAATTTACCAAGTGGTAGGAAGCGTTTCTCTTACACTTTTTCCCCTAGCAAAAGCCGAGTTTGCTCGTGGGTGTACATAATAAAATATTCAATAACAAAACGTGTTACTCGTAAACTCGCACTGCAGGAGCGTGTTGTATTAGAAAGTCGGGACTGGGTGGTGTTAGTGCCATTCTGGGCGGTATGGCCATATGAAACGATGATATTACCTAATCAGGAATCACTGGCAGTTGTTATGAAAAGATTGTGTACAAAATATGATAATTTATTCAATTGCTTCTTTCCTTATTCTATGGGTTGGCATGGTATAACAAAATATTAATAAAACAGATTTAATAAAATTAAAAATCGTACTTCATGTATCTTTTTAATTTAAAGGCGCGCCGACTGGTCCGTATGGAAAACAAGATTATCCTTATTGGACTTTTCATGGGATCTACTTACCACCTTTGCTACGATCAGGAACTATTAAAAAACACATGGTTGGCTACGAGCTTTTAGCACAAGCACAAAGAGACTTAACGCCGGAGCAAGCGGCGGAGAAATTAAGAAGTTTATCCGATTCTCATTACAAGTATCCAGACACAAGTTTAACTAGTTGCGAAATAGAAAAATATTCTAAGTGAATTAATTTACTTTATATACAAGAATATATTTTTGTAGATGTATATGTTCTTCGCATATACATTATTTACAAAAGCGTATATTGCTAGATTATGCCCACATGATCTTCGTCAATAAAAAGCATAGTGAACATAAAAATTAATATTATATTTGTAATTTTACACGATCAATACACAGGAAATGTGTGATCAATTTTCTTGCTCCAAGCATGAATTCCTCCAATTAGGTCTTTTATTTCTAAATTAGGTGCATTAAATATTTTTTGAAGGTATTTCACAGCTTTTTGTGAGTCATTACCTCTTCTACATGTAACGTATACTGAAAAAATACATATTCTAAGAGTCCAATTATTTTCAAAAATTTCGAGTACACACCTCATTGAATACTTACGACTAACTTCAGTATACTCTTCTTTTATTTTCTCTATACTATTTTTCATTAACATTATTTTTTCAGTATTATTAATTTCATTTAACGGTACATTTACAGAATTCTTCAAGTGACAAATCTGAAATTCCTCGGGTGAACGCACATCGATCAACATGTGTGGCTTTGTACCTAATTTCAGTATTGTATTATATTCCTCCACACTGATTCTTTCTTCCTTCTGTAATACATTCAAATTTGGTTCCTTGTCATTTGCTTTTGCGCCACAAAACTGTTCATAATCGATTAATTTCTCAATAGTCGGATTATCCCCACACACAGCACAATTTGCATTCTTAGGACGCAATCTGACATTGCGAAACTTTGTTTCTAGTCCATCAAACAGTAGAAGCTGACCAGATAGAACACAAGGCATTTTAAGTACAATTTTTAGAGCCTCTAATGCTTGAAGAACGCCAATGGTACCAACAGCTGTAACAAAATAGAATAGTAAATACATATTTTCACATTAAAAAATATAACAATTACATAAAGTGGATACCTGGACCAAAGACACCACCATCTCCACAGTTTGTCACAGTTTCTGGAGACGGAGGTTTAGGAAATATGCATCTATAGCATGGGCCATTATAATTAAACACGGATAAGTGTCCCTCGAATCTTAAGGCTGATCCAGAAACTAAAGGCTTTTTAGTTAAGACACATACATCGTTTAGTAAATAACGTGTGGCAACATTATCTGTTGCATCTAATACCACATCATAAGATTTTATTATTTTTATAGCATTCGTACTATCCAACTGGGTCTTGTGTGGTGTAATTTTAATATTACTATTCATGCTGGAAGGAATATAATAAATTTCAAACATACACTGATTATAAAATTTACACGTAACATTATATTCGTTCATATGTACCGATTAAGGTGTTCTGCAGCAGCATGCACTTTTGATGTTCCAATGTTCGCTTCTGTATATAACAACTGTCTATGAAGATTATTAATCTCAACATCATCATAATCAATTACTCCAATGTGTCCAACACCAGCTGATGCTAAATATAACGCAGCAGGACATCCAAGACCACCTACTCCCACAATTAGCACTGCACTATTTTTTAATTTTAATTGCCCTATAATTACATACTTGAATTATTATTTTATTCCTAAAATTAATTCAAATAGAATATCCTAACATTTAAAAAACAAAATATACCATTGATGCCTAATTCTGGTAAAAATATTTGTCTACTGTATCTTGTTATCTCGACGTTACTTAAACCGTAGTCCTGTAAAATTTGTTTTTCGCGCCTTAGGGCAGTCAGTTGAGCTTCCTTTGCGCGTAACAACTTACGCAACGCCGTAATTTCATCAATCAAATCTTCTTCATTCATCTCTGTTAAATAGATTCCTGGAAACAGATTATTACTCTACTTTTCAGAAATCTATGGGAAATATTGTATTATGTTAAAATTCTGGATTAAAGAAACACTATGAATTGAATTAGGTTATATCGAGATCCAATTTAAAAGAAGAAATAAGGGCAACTAAAATATTGCAATAGTAGTACATAAGTTACTTAATAACAATACTTACGCGTTCAATAAGAATTCTAACAATCAAGTGAACAGAATTACTTTACAACTTTCGATGTTCTATTGTTTATCCTCAGTACTGTTTACAATGGTAGGTATCAGTTACAATTTAAACCATTTGAACATACTCCCCACTTCCACTACAAGTGATTCACGCAGTTTCACGTGTAAAGCATGGATGTCCATGGATGACACTATAAAGTCCATTTTCTGTATTGGTGCGTATAATAATCAGTAGTTCAATCGTCGTAATTAACTGTTACTCGTGTCGTCGTAGCAGATGAAACGAAAAGACTCAACTATGGCTAGTATACAAAGATAAAGTTATAATAACAAAACTTGGATGTTTACTTATATAAATCCAAACTGATCCAAACTTCCGATGATTAATGTACAAAAACTGAAAATAAAGCAGAAACTTCATTATATACTTTAAAGGTTTATCTTTCTTACGTCATACACGTTCAATTATGCTATAAATGTGTAAAATCTACAGTCTATATAGTAATTAATTTAATAACTATTAACTATACATATAGAAATTATTTTATACATACATATATCCTATGAATCTGTATCCACAAATACAATTTATATTAAGTGCAAAGATTAGTTAAAAAGCATCCAATGTAATTCTAAATATTTTTTGTAATATTGAATATCTATCAAAAGTACATTTATTAAGAGTTAAAACTTCTGCAATAACTCAATAATAAACTTAGCAATAAGTCAAATGTGTACTCTTGATCTTTCTGGAGTAGCTTCATTTTTCAGATTAAAAACAATACAGTGTTCAGTTATCATAGCATAATGTTTGTAACAAAGGAAATTATTAAAAACGTATACATATGTACATATACAAAATTCACAAGTGAAATTAATACGGAACTGCCGTCATAGCCATCCCAGATGAACGTTTGAAATTACATCCACTTCGGTCTCATTGTATTATCGCGTGATATTTAGCGAGCAGCTGAAAAATTCTTAAAAGAGAAGAAAGCAGAGAAAGCTAAAACGATCGACGGGTGTTAGTTTGCTGGAAATCATGATGTACTCGATTGCAATGATCCTTGCAAGGTTTGCGTGTTTATTCGGACAGTGTCGTGCGCAATAAGCGCAGTACACAGTACAGTCTTGGGCAAAGGTAGGAAGCTGATGATTAATATCACGGTCAGCGAGGTCCTCACTCTTGACAAGTGTATACAGGAAAATCATGATTTTCTAAGTGACAACGCGAACGTTGCCTGTGAAAAAGTTTCATCGTAACGGACGTCAAGATGGTGGAACCAATTTTCGACTATCAGTTCCGATTGATACTCATCGGCGACAGTACAGTCGGGAAAAGCTCGTTGTTGAAGTATTTTACTGATGGGAAGTTCGCAGAGGTACGCAACGACCTTAACCGCTTCATCAACCTTGCAGAATTGATTCTGCGTGAATAGGAACCTTGTCGCGTATCATTTTTATGATAAATTTTCTCCCATTAATTAGTTGTACCCAAATTGCAGCTTGTATTTTACGAGTTCTAAAAATTTTATTTCTATAATCTAGTAACACAATTGGAGCATCTCCAACTTCCCGACTTAATAATAGTTCTATCGGTAGATTGTTATTTCTTAGAAGAAAAGAAATACGACGTAATGTTTTGGACTTTTTTTTATGCTTAAATAAATGTTTTTTTGATTATTTGTATTTATAATGCATATTAATAATAGGTTAGTAAACAATTAACTGTGTGATAATGTTTAAGTTAAAGCATTCTTGAAGGAGATCTAAAAGTGTTTAAGGCTTTTCAATTTAAAAATTAATTTTAGTCATTGTATGGTTTTTAAAGGAATTTTCAGTCATTGTAAACGTTTGAATTTGCATGAAAATCAATAATTTAATTATGACAGTATTATTTGATTGCACTTTGTGTATATGGCACATTATAATTTAGCTTTCAGACCCAACCGTTGGAGTTGACTTCTTTGCCCGATTAATTGAAGTTAAAGATGGGACAAGAATAAAGTTACAATTATGGGATACAGCTGGCCAAGAAAGGTTTAGGTATGAATTTTGTTATATTCTATTACTAACTGTAATTACAAAGAATATTGCTTTGTTTCTTAATTCAATTTTGTGCCAATACTTTATATATTTTATAGTAATAGAGAAATACTTTGTGTTCAGGTCAATTACAAAATCCTACTACAGAAATTCTGTTGGTGCGTTACTTGTATATGATGTCTGCAACAGAGCAAGTTTTGAACATATTCCTCAATGGATGATGGAAGCGCGAAGGCATATTGAACCACACCGTCCTGTGTTTGGATTGGTAGGCTGTAAATTAGACTTGGTTACCAATGGAGGTAGACGAGAAGTTTCTAAGGAAGAAGCAAGAGCCTTTGCAGACGAACATGGAGTACATCACATTGAAACCAGTGCAAGGACTGGAGTGAATGTTGAAGAAGCATTTCGAACAGTCACACAGGAAGTTTATAACAGAATACAAACTGGAGAGTACAAGGTGGAAGATGGTTGGGACGGTATTAAAACTGGATTTGCTAGACCTGGTGGTTTAGATTTTAATTTACTTGAGGCAGAACCAGCAAAAAGTTCTTGTTGTTAAGTTAATGTTATCTTTACTTGAAAAGGATAAAGGTTTCTTAGAATGCAGTGGGAATATCAAATTTATATGCTTTATAAAATTTTATTGTAATTTTATACGTATATTATTTTCTGGTTTTCAATTTATATACATCAATTAAATTCTATGTACATAATTGTATTTAGTTTTAACCATTGAAATTAGAATTACTTTCACTCATGGAAACTACATTTCACTGCATTCTCATTTTCGGGAAAAGACTAATAATGAATATAAACTGTGTATAAGTCTCAAATAGACATTTTTGTACATAGCTTGTATAAACAAATCTATCTATACATAAAAACACACATCATTGAAGCACTTAGGCATTGAACTAGGTATGTTCTCTATTTCATTTAAAAGACAAAATATATAAGCATGAAAAAAGTTTATGTTCTGAATATAAATTTAGCTACATTGTTTTTATGTATTTTGTCATGCAAACAGTTCTGTTATATAAAGAAAACGACTGGCTGTGCTTCTTTGTTGAAATTGTTATCGAAAGATGTATATCTCTTTCTTTATAACACATGATACTAAGTTACAATGGATCAAATTTTAAGTGAATCTTTCAACATAAGAATGAAATTCATTGCTGATTATATATTGTACATTTATCAATTATTAATGAAACACACGAGATACGTTGATTGATTTGTTAAACTTTACTAGTTACTTTTTGTTTTTAATGCCACAGTTTGTGATAACATTATACATATATGAGAAGCCAAATTAATATATACTTTGTTACTGTTCATATTTAATGAAAAACTAACAGGATGATAAATGCTTACTCAATATAACCATGTAACTTACGGAAATAATATAAAACGAACAATACTTGTGTTCTGATTTGAAAAGAATTAATTAGAAATTTATTCTGTATATACTTTACGACATGCTTATGTAACAATCTTGTTCAATAATCTTGTTATGAAATACCATATTAGCTAGAGCACCTTAAGTTACATTAGTTAATATGGAATAACAAACTGCTTTATTATATTTTTATCATAAGATGTATGCATAAATGCCATGTTGAATACGAGGCAAGAAAAAAGTTTTATATGAACTAGTATAATATTTTTAATATAATCTTTTTTTACAAGGTTGTATGTTTTACACTTTTTCATATCTATCTTTAAAAACAAAACATCAGACTTATCTGACTTTGAAGAAATAATTTAAGAACATGAACATTTGTATATTTTTAAGACAGAAGCAAATTGATGAGGGTAAATTGAAGTATAAATGTTATTTATGGGACTTGCATACTTTATTGCAAGTTTAATTGACTAGGAAAATATTTATTTACAATACAGTACCATTATACATAGTGTATAATACTTTTTATGTCAAAGAGTGCAGTGAATTATCAATTTGTATAAATAGAATAAATGCAGCATGAATAGAGTTCATTTGTGAAGTTTTATACTCATTAACTGTGGCATAAAGCGAAAATACGTAGATATTTTTCAAGAATTGCCAACTATAATATTATATAATTCATCACCGCATTTGTATAGTTCTCTATACATGACATTTATCTTTTAACTAACAGATAGAAATAGTATACATGTGCAGTGTTGCAAAATATTGATAAATGAAATGAGTTTTGTATCTATAGAAATTGTACTTGTGTTATATTAGTATTGTCCAAAGTTGTAATGAGTTCCTTTACATTTTTAAATATTTTCCTGTAAATAGAAATTGACGATTTTACGTTAAAAATGTGAATTATTACAAATGCCCAAGCTATACTATTTAAACACACATACAGACACATACATACACATACATACACATACATCATGTACTTCCTGCAACATATACTTTGTAATTATGTTTTCATAAAATGTATAATTTGCAAAATTTGAAGGTACATATGCTTTGTGCACTACACATTTATATATAATGATGTTGGAAAATAAAGAGTATATCATAGAATTTTACATTATTTTTCCATAATTTGCTATATGAATTTATTTATATTATTTTCTGTGACGAAAAACAAAAAAATTTCTTATAATTATGAACTCTTACATTGACATTTTTAATTTATTAATTGCCTTATTGATATTGTATATATTGTATTCAATGTAGTACATTGTTTCTGTTGTGTAAGACTGTGATGAACAGAATAATCAAAACAGTAACAAGATATAAAATCTCATATTTAATATATACTAAGTGAAAATTATTTATTCACAAAATGTACAAATAGCAAAATTCCATACATACATACAAGTGATTAGTTTTAAAATAATGTATAGGTGTCAAGTTAATTTCTGTTACATAAAACGTTTTAAACCAAACATTCGTATCTCGAACTTCAACTTCGTCTATAAAATAGAATTATTATAAAATACTATTGGCAGTTAAAAAAATAATAAATACAATACTATTTCTATCTTTAACTTTTGTTTAAAATTATCGAAACATAAAACAAACATACACATTACGAGTAAATTATACTACAAATATATATATTGTTTTCTGTTTGGATTTGTTAAATTACATACACGTTTATGCTATAGAGGTGTTAAATGTTTTATAGTCACCTAGCATTGTGTACTATAAAGTTTATTACAGTAATGTAATAATTCACACGGATCCTCATCAATGAAAACGTGATTTATAAGGTGATGTTTATAATATAAATACTTGTTTTATTTAACTTGTTTACTACCAGAATTTTTCTAACGTAGTATTAAAATGTGTTACTTCATTTAGTTACTGCTTGAATTCTAATTTATAAACCAATAAAATATTATCACTGTACATATTACAAGTAATATTCACATATCAATTATTCACAAAGTTGAATTTAATTTTAAGGAAAATTATAGTAACAAGAACTTTATATCTCATGTAGATATATCGTTCGATATATATCTATTTATATAAACCGAACTTTATATTTGTATCATTACGAATTCTTAGCGTTAATAGTACTAAGCTCACTATTTTGGAAGAGAAATCTAAATAGCTTAATTGTATTTAATGTGACTAGAAACGTTACTACTTCTTTCTCTTGCTGTCAGTATACATATATTTCTTATTTTGGCATGAATTATGCAATGTAAATGTACGAAATTGTGGACAGCTTCTTAGAAATACTATATTCACGATTAATTACATATAGGTAATACTTCTTTCTCAATAATACTTTCTAGAATTACTTATCTGTACAGTATCATTTAAGCAATTTGCCTTAGATATTTTCTATATACAAAACAGTTTGTTGTCTGAACTATATACATACAGATGATCTCACCAAGAAAAGAGAGAAGTGAGTTTGTAACATTGTAGAAAAGAATAAATTGACATAAAATGACAGGGTACTGAGATTAGTAATGTGATTTCATGATGCTGGCATATGACAAAGCAAATTTGACTAAGATAACGAGGTCCTTAGAGTTAGCGTCCGTTTTACATAGAAAGTCTGTTGAAACCTTTGTAACAGTAACAAGTGTTACTGTATGAATGCTCAAATTTCTCTTAAAGTATGATAATATAGAAGTTTGGATTAGGGTGTTTGTGAACAGAGAGGTAAAGGGTCTTGTCAATGAACGTAAACAATTATAAGAGTGCTTATATTAATGCAATCTGTAGAGATTCATTGTTATTGGTTTTGCAGATCAGAGATTATGTAGCGGATAGAGATGTATGGAGGGAGGATAACGTTACAGGTGTAAGAATAGTAACGTAGGCACGGAGATATGTCTATCCTAGGTACCTAGATTCCAGTCTATCCTAGCATTCACTGCATACATGCAGAGGGAGTTTAAATTCCGTCCCTTTCTTTTATGAAGTGGACTCCCGATGTGTCTGCAACACAGTATGTAAGAAAAGTACATAAAGAAAACCAAAAAGACTACTCTAAGTAATAAATACCAACCAATATTTAATCTTATCGCAGCATCTCATCATGGAATGTCTTTTCAATAATCTACGATTACAAGTTGTATCTTACTTAAAGACAACTCAAGAAAAGACTTATTCCGTGATGGTAACTTTTACTTTCATAGGATTTGTTGCAACATGCGAGAGATTTGCATTTATGTAATAAGTGAAGTACTAACATTGCAAGGGACCACTTATTTATTGTTCTACTGTTCCAGTGACTGGCACCCGAATAAAACATATTCTTCTCTTGATAACCAAAACGGATTACCCTCTACATATTCAGGTGGAGTTTTACCTAAATTAATAGTTACATGAATATATATGAAATATGTATAAAAATTAGACCCTACTATATATATGCTTACCAGGATGCACAGCTAAAGGCACATATGTGGAACCCATAGCAACGTGCCAACTATGTGTACCAGGACAATTTCTCACTTCTAGAATTTTGCTATGTTCAGGTAACAATTCTTGTAGATCTTTAGTTAATCTTACTTCGAAACCTGAAAGATCTGTGTTGCCTCCAGTAAGTAAAATGTTTGAGAGGCACTCATACATTAGATCCTCTGATAAACCAGATGTTACATCTTTTATCACCTGTGGTAAGTCAAGATTGATGTACATCATTTCAGGAGCAATGTATAATTCCGAATCGAAGGAAAGTCTCTGAAAGATATCTTTAGTGTTATTATTGAGTTTAAATGTTTTTGTAATTTTTACATAAGAATTTACTTACCCAGTGTTGCTTATAGACAGCGGGATAGCTATCAACTCTAAGGTTAATATGTTCCCTAGATTTTTGTCCTACTCGTTTCTCTTCATTTTTAATATTATAACTTAGTCTACATTTCTCTTTAACTGTTAGTGTATCCAAATATGATATTGGGATTTGATGATATTCCTTTGGTTGCCAGTGCATAGCTTGTTTCAAATGATAAGCTACATGCCAACCACCCACAGGTAACAATCTCCAACGCTGTGGTACGACACTGCCCCCAATCACAACAGCTACTGTCGTACTGAGAGCTCCACTATCAACAATGACACAGGTTTCTACACCCAGCATTGCACATGCTGCTAAAGGTTTTGGTACTAAACATACTCTGAAAAGTTTATAATAACATTATTATAATAATCATAGTTTCTTGATTACTTTTTGAAAGTATATTTCCTTTATATTATACCTTGCTACTTTCACTTCTTGGAATAAGTAATGCAGCAACTGTTTCCTGAGAGTTGGATGCATAGCTAATGGCTCACAGAACATAAGTACTGCATTAGGTTTTCTTAACGTTGAAGTTAAATGCATCTGTTGAAATAAGTGGTCAACAAATGTTTTAAGAACAGTGAAAGATCCATCAATTAATGCTTCAGCTGGACTAACAACATCAACATTTGGAATTCCAAGAACTTCAACAGTATCAGTACAATATCCATTTATAAGTTTTTCATAAGTTGGATTTGGTTTAGTGTAACATGTTGGATCATTTTGATGTGTAATTAATCTTTTCTTTTCCCTATACAATTTTACAGGATTACAGAAAATACAAAATGGACCGCTTGGTCTTGGAACCTTAGTTTCTAGGTCGGACAACTTCAATAGTTTCAATTTCTTTGCTAATGACTTTCCATCGCACTTTGGGCGTGTGCTACTACCTGGAACATTTTCTGTTTGAGTTTGTTCCAAATGTGTTTCGTTATTGTATTTAGGTATACCAAACATTGACAAATGCCTTCTCAAGCCAAAATTTGGTGTGATAACCCATGTATATTTGTTTCCAATCTCAATAACTACTTTTGCACTAGTTCCTTCAACACAATTTCTCTGACACGTGTAACCACTACAATGGTAACATTTTGGAAATGGAGCATTTGCTCCTAATTTGAGTACCATATGTAGTCTGTAACACATTGCTTTAAAACTAACACTAAGTAATTGCAGACACTTTATGTCTGGAAACCTAAAATGTACTTTTGAAATCAATTCTTGCCATTTCATTTTCCTATAAAAAGAAAACAATTAGTACAAATAAGTGTAAAGAAGATATACTAATGACATCTGTCATTTTTCAAGATTAATAATTACAAAGCTTATAGATGTTTAGTGTGAATATCATTGTACTATTAAAAACTCGAATGACGTAAAATTGAATTTATTTTCCAATTGAGTTATTGAACTTTAACGTAAGTTTGACGTAAACTTAACCTTAAACTTACCATAGGTAGTCTGTGTCTGAAGTTTTCCTTAAATATTTGCACGTGCTACCAAAAGCAATAATATCAGGTACATCACAATACAATAAAATTTTAATCCAAATTTCTTCGGGGAAGACCGCTGGATCCATAATTATTAATACAAACGTTACAAAAGGTACAATTAACAGTTACTAATACAAGATTGCAGACACTCCCCAGAAACGGTGAATACGCTAGTCAAGTTCAAGGTTACAATGGTGAAAATAGTGAATCAATATGTTATCAACGGATGATACTTCAATAAGAATTATGGTAATAGTTATTATATAATCAGTAATATGTAATATTACTTAGTAAAGGCAAATATTATGTAGAAAACATGAAGACATTATAAATGCTACTTCATGACTTAAACTTTAAACTATTGTAGAAACTATTTATACTTTTTAGGGAAATTTTGAATATGATCACATCTAAAGATTTATTTGAAGAATATAGCAATGGGAAAATATAACACATATTTATACAAAAGTAAAAATTTAATATAATGTTCATAAAATACTGCTGTTACATTTCATTTATGAAGCCACAAGAAGTGTTTCTATGTAAGGATTTTTATGAGATAAAACTTTTTCTCTGAATGCTGAGATCTTGTTTTCCAAGTCTTCATTGGATAACGATTTATCTAATGTCTTGCATTTATTAACAAATTCTGTAATAAGTTCTTCAGCTTCCTGCAATGTTATAAATATGAATTATCTAAATAATATTCCAGAATACTTAATAAATATGTTTGTTAATGAAAAATGCATTTATTTTTCAAGTGATATTAAAAGGGTAGGAAATAAAGTTACCTTAATGATTTTTTGTCTTTTGTGTGGATCATCAGATCCTTCAAAAACCGAACCTTGGTAATCTTCGAGTTCGGCTTGCTTACGTTTGGCAAACTAGAAATAAAATTTTCTTTCAATTAAAATATGTAAAAATTCATGAATAAAACGTTTACCTCTACGACTTCTTGAGGAAAGTTGGCCATTTTCGCAACATGTATTCCAAAACTTTGGTCGCAGACGCCTGGTTTGACTTCATATAATAACGTCAACTTGTTGTCGTCAACAAGAGCTGTAACGTGTTGATTTTTAACAGCGGTTTCTTCTTCTTCCAATTTAGTAATTTCATGGAAATGTGTTGCAAAAAGACAATAACATTTAACATCCTTTGCTAAATACCTGCAAAATCATTTTTAATTATACATGGCTTAACAAATTAAAGTATTGTGTTCTTGACTTACTCGGCAAGTGACCATGCTATGCCGCAACCTTCATAAGTTGATGTACCTCTTCCTAACTCATCAATTAATACAAGAGAATTACACGTTGCTGTCTATGAAAAATCTAAATAAGAACATTTTCCACTTAAAATACAAAGTTTGTAATTGTCTAAGTATACCTTTAATATGGCGGCAGTTTCTATCATTTCCATCATAAACGTAGAAAGTCCTTTTAGTTGTGAGTCATCAGCACCTACGCGGGCTAATATACAGTCTAGTAATGATATTTTTGCTTCATCACAAGGTACAAAACTTCCAATGTGTGCCATTAATGCAGCGACGCCAGCAGACCTTATGTATGTGCTTTTACCTCCCATATTTGGACCAGTTATAATACAGAAGTGGCATTCTCCTGCAATTATTATGAGTATCTCATATGGTTATATAAATATTCTAATATAACTTAATATTACCTCTTTTAAAATTAATATTATTGGCTATATAGTTTATTCCTTCTTGAACTTCTACACACGGATGTCGAACCTGGACAAGGTTCAATTCACCTGTTTCGCTAGGTAGCATTTCAGGGCGAACATAAGGTTTATTGGCACTTACAGCAGCAGAAGCAAATGCAGTGAGTACATCTAGGCAAGCCAGTACATCTCCAATAGCTTTTACGGTGCCGCAATAACCGGCTATTCAAGAAACAACAATAATAATAATAATTATAATGAGTCAATTTACAAAGTTGTGGTTTATTATTCTTCATGACGTTGTTCATTAATGTAATAATATATGCAAACCTGCAATCTCAATTATTTCTGCCACAACTTTTTTCTGTTCTACTGTATATTTATCTCTAGCAGTAATGTACGCATCATTTAAATCGCTGAGTCTACTACTTCGGAATCGTATACCGCCCTTATTAGAATCTAAAATAGTGTATTGTTTTTTATTTCTTAGCACCTTTTCTTCCTTCAACGTGATGCGAAAATAATATCCCAATTGTTGATTGGATTCCAACTTCAATGTTTTGCCAGCTTCAATTGAGAGATCATTAGCAACTTTACCCAACTGTACTTGTAATGTCGTCTCAATTTCGTCCATAATGATCTTTAACTCTGATGATAGATAATTAATCAATTAATATGAATGCATATAACTTAAAAGCAAGTATAATTTGTACAGATACCTTTTAATTCATTATCAAATTCTGGTCGGACTAAAAAGTCTCCTTTTTCAGCAGCTTCCAAATCAACTGTCTGTTCAACCATCTGCTGATACTTATCCATGTCGTTAAGAAGTTCAGTTAGGGGATCAGTAAACATTGTTTTTAAAGCTACTATATTTACAATAGATAGGTGTTCTACTAGTGTTGGTAGATGTGTCATACTCATGTAGATTCTGAGACAAAGAGAATACCAATAATTAGTGTACTGAAATTTAAATAATGTATAGGAAGTACATAGTTTATTTACTTGTAACAATCTTGCAAATTCGCTTTTTTTCTGGACAATTTTTTTGCAAGTATTTGTAAATCTGGTACACGTCTTAAGTGGTCATCACTAAGCCCAGATCGTAAGTTATTATCAGTTACCAATGCTTCCACAATGTCGTGTCTCTCCTTTATAAGGGATAAGTCTTTAAGAGGCTGTCTAACCCATTGTGCCAGAAGTCTATGGCCTTGGGGAGTTCTACATTTATCCAAAAGTGTTAAAATACTTGTTGGTGCATTTCCACTCAATGCAGAGGGAGTATCAATGCGTGGTTCAATATTAAGTGCTTTTATAGCAGCCGCGTCTAATTTTAAATAACGTGAATGTTCTATTTGATTTATACTGAATTGATTTAAATTTCCTTCATCCGACGTCAGCTAACGAAACAATATTATATTAAAGTGTGATTTCCAAAATAGTTAGTTTCTACCTTAGTACACTGATACAATACTTACATCCAAATATTTAATAAGAGCAGAAGTAGCTGACATAGCAAGGCTTAAACTGACTTCAGGCAACGATTGCACACTTTGCTGTTGACCTTTCTTGAATTTTATTAAAGTGTTTAAATCTTGCACAATTGACTCACTGGAAAATTCACTCTTTTTTCTTAAAGTGACCATTACGTTATTTCGTTCCATTAACTACAAAAATAGACGCACATTGATATTACATGTTTGGACTATTTTCCATTTGTACATTACACTTTAAGTTGAGTAACAGGTAACATCTGTTTTTCTGTTTTAAATTCAATTCTATGCAAGATTATTCATCAATACTATTTACTAAATTTTCTAGGATCAGAAGCTACTTGTCATACATTTCAATAGATATGAAAGTAATATTTACTTGTTTCAGAGTTTGAAATTCATAACTGCCTTCGCCTTGAATTAATAAACATTCTTTAGGAGCAAGTGTAACAACCAAGGATTCTAGATTAGAAAATGATTCATTTTCTTGAAATTCACAAACAGAAAATAAAGTTGCAGTAGTATCTGCACAGCTTAAACCAATCATCTGCAAAGTATTGTAAAAATTAATTTAGTTACATACAATCATACTTTCAGCTGAAACATTCTTATCAAGTTTGCTCATAATGACTCACTCTGGATTTCCCATCCACTCCCAGTTTTACTGCTATTACACGTATGCTCACTGCAATATCATTATTACCAAATAGTACATCTTCAAACTGAGCTAAATTACCAGGGGAGCCTTTGTGCTCCAGTACCCAGTTATGATTTTTTGCTGAACCTTGATTGACATAGACTTCTACTCTGTATTGCTTCACTAGTAATAAGTCACGTATAAAAGTTTCAAAATGGTTTTTATTGAGAATAACTCCCTCCGTTTTGTATGGATCTGTTTCAAATATTTATCTCACATAGATGTTGTTTAAGGACCACTAAGAAATAGAAACTAATATTTGAATTTAAATTTGTACCTGATCCTATCATTTTGCAAACTGATGTGGTTTTAAAAACTTCTTGAGCAGCAAAAAGAGCATCACTACCATGCAGTGTATAATAATCTGATCTATTGAAAAACCGTATGGTCGTATTGAGTTTCTGAAATGAATGAATGAAGTGAGTTTCTATGACACAAATACATGTAGTATGTTAATATATTACTCTGTATCAAGAACTGTATGGCATGAGCTTGTTTTTCAGTACAGCCTTGACCTATTTATGTAAGCTACAAGTTCTATCCTCATTCCACATAAATATTCTGTTAACATTAATATGCGTATCTCTTGCGTATATTTTTTAATTTATTTTATCCGTAGTGTCTTCACGATAATTTAAATATATATTCCAAGTGTTGAATGGCATAAGATACTAAAGTGTAATGTTATAAAATTAAAAATTCTGCTATTGTCTCTTTTTATGCATAATGGACCTTTGACTTTTACTTTTTACTATACTTATACTGCACACAATATTTAAAACGTGGATAATTAGTATTACAATCCACAAAATTGTGATAAGCATTAGCAAACCGTAATTATTACGTATCGTATTTCCAAGAAAGTGAAGGATCTTGTTTTATATCTGTAGGTCAATGTCTATCGCGGGGTCAAAGCATCATGTACCGATATTAACGCAATGTGTGACTTCAAGGAAATCAGCTATTTTGTGGAAAATAATTGTCAATTTTGAAACACACTGTATTACATAGTATATTGCTTCCAATTAACTTCTTATTTTACGAATGAAATTAGTTTTGCTTTCAACTAACGTTGCTATTTTTTTAAATCTATAATAAGTGTAAATTAGAATAGCATAAAATATGTACTAATGCAGGACATGGTCCATACCCAAGTAATTAGCGGGTAAATCCAAAAATTCCAATAAAATTTGTGTTAATGACACAATCTTGGAAGTATTATTCATTCTTATTACGATAAAAGGTCACAGTTCATCTTCCAGGAAAGTTTACAATATATGATTTAAGTAGGCCACAACAAAAACATTAAGAGCTGCTATACTTCTTTCAGATATGATTGTTTCAAAATATTCAGTTGTATGTAAACTGTTTAATTACACTTTAATCAGATTTCGAATAAATAATAGAAAGCATCTAACATTTGTAACTCGAAGAAAAAGTATTTGGTATTTAAGTGCAAATAAATTAAATAATTCTTGCAATGATTAGATTCATCTTTGTGGTAACTATCTTGAGTCTATACTATATTACGAAATAGGAATAAATTAAAGCATCACAACAAGGATGTTACACATTCAGAATGACTTCATTGATGACACACCAATCCAAATGTGGCAAACCATTTACAAGTATTGCCTGAAAGTTAAAGCGATATATGTAAAATGAAAAAAACAGCTTATAAGGTAGTATATCCAACTTAATACTTATTAATTTCAATCTCTTAATTAAAAACAATTAAATTGATAGAATTATGAAAAACTATCAAACATTTTGATTATAATGTTCTGAGATTTACTATAAATTAAAAGAAAATTCCGAGTAATATTATAAGAGCAAATTATGTACAGTGAATGTTTTTTTTTGGTAATTTAGTTCAGAGATATTAATGTATTATTTTGAATTATTAGTACTGATAAGAATGGATATGAATTGAAATGAATGCACAGTAAACATTATCATCATGTAAGAATGAAGGAGAATGTTCTTAGAGATGTGGTAGAAAGAAGGGGAAACCAACATAAATTGAATTGCTGCAACCTATGTGTAGTACATGTCAACATACACTGCCACTGAGAACATCTGAACTATTGCCTGTCTTGTTTGAATTTGCTTTTCTGCCATTAAATAAATAAATAAATATTTCTTTTTAATTTACTATAACTGTACCAGAAACCTTTAACTATATATACTAATAAAAGTGCAATAAAAGAAGGTAAAATAAAGAGGAAATAAAATATAATTTTACGTATTCTTTTATGACAAATAATTGAAACATAACTTACATTGCAGAAGCCAAGCCAGTAATATGGTGATACGAAAGTTTATTATTTTATCATTATTAATAACACAAGTGTTATCTGCGCCAAGTGGATGTATAGAATCCTGTGGTTCTTATGTCAAACATTTTGGAACTGAATCATCTGACATTCAGAATCATGGGGTTTCAACAGAGACAGCAGCCCAATTGCAAGGGCTTGATTATTCGAGACCTGGCAGCTGGACCGAACACAACGACTACAATGTGAATAATGGTCATGGAAAAGTACATGAAGAAAAAGGACAGATTATTGATGGTGCCAAAACGGTAAGATACTACAAGAAAAATTATTCATCTTCGTATGGCACAAAGTATCCAAGTGGCACAGGATCGTCTGAGATTGAACAGCTGAGCAACAATTATAGACAAGGTGTTCATATACCAAACCCAGAGGATGTTTTCAACTCTCAGAGATTATATGATCAAGTAAGAAATTCAGAATCAATTTCACAACAAAATGCGTACAACAGAATACAAAGTCAGCAGCATCAACAGCATACGCAATCATCAGTTCGGAGAACTAATACACAGAATGAGAGGCTTGAAGATTTTGGAGAATACAATGGAAATTCTCAAGTAGTACAACAAGGTGTGTCTGACTATAATACTCAGCTTTCGCAACAGCCTTCTTCTACTAGCACGCAAACAGGAAATTGGAGCAAAGTCGATTCTTACAAAACTGATGGAGGGCATGGACGTGTATTTGAAGAAGAAGGTCAATACATGTCAGGCCCTAAGAAAGTCCGTTATTACAGAAGAAATTACACTTCCAGTTATGGATCAACTAATAGACCTCCCATTTTTCCTTCGACTAAAGTTAGAGATGATGATCTCTATAGAGAAATAGAAAACATCCATAGAGAGGCAAGTAGAGGCTCCAATCAAGTGTCTACCACAAGGGATATGACAACTAGCAATATAGAACAAACAAATATTAATACATCTGGTGATCTGCACAGTGACAATCTTCATGGTATAAATAGTAATGTCTATCGAGGTAGAACAGATGGAAATAATTTATTAACAGTGCATCATGATGAACAACAGCATCACACTGACACTGGAATGGAATATTCACCTTATAGGACTCCTTCTCCGAATACCCATGGGGCAAACAGTTACAGTATGTATGAAAGACATGAAGGGTATGTAAGAAAAGTTCAACCATCAAGACAATACATAAATCCTACATCAGGATATACTGATGTACTTAGCACTGGAAATAGCGGTTACAATAGGAATATGTATACTGAAGGAAGCAGTATGCAACATACTGATAAACTGCATCAAATGGAACAATTGAATACACAACAATCAAGACTTGTTCAAAATCAAATGACTGACGATACTCTGAGACAGAGTGTATATAATCACGACAGATTGATAAGTTCAGGTATACCGAGCCAAGCTTCGCATTATAAAGAACAATGGAGTTCTAGTCATGCAAAAGAAGCAACTGTCCCACATTACACATCAGGTATTTCACAAATTAATGAACACAGTGAACAATATAATAACAGATACAGGGAAAGTAATTTTAACGCCGGACATCAAACCAAATTTGGAAAACTGATGACTGGAGCAATTGATTTAGGTCAAGTAGGAAATGCTGCTGACTGTACATATGGAACTGCCGAGCACACTCACACCAGTTCTCAATACCATACAATGCACAAACGTAACGCGAAATACCACGAATTAAGTGACACACAACAAACTGAACAATTAACTCAGAAAACAGGAGAATTTGATAATCTTCCACAGCAGACCTCTGGGAAGCTTGAATTTGGACAGCAAGCAGAAGATTTGACTCAACAAACTGGGGAATTTGATGACCTTACTCAACAGACTTCTGGAAAGCTTGAATTTGGACAACAGTCGCAACACTCCAATCAACCTTGGGTATCAGGTGGCGCTAGTCAACACTCAGAAGATTTGACTCAACAAACAAGTGATATGGATGACCTTACTCAACAGACCTCTGGAAAGCTTGAATTTGGACAGCAGTCGCAACACTCTCATCAGCCTTGGAGACCAGGTAGTGCTAGTCAACACTCAGCAGACTTGACTCCACAAACTGGGGAATTTGATGACCTTACTCAACAGACCTCTGGAAAGCTTGAATTTGGACAGCAGTCACAACACTCTCATCAGCCTTGGAGACCAGGTAGTTCTAGCCACCACTCAGCAGACTTGACTCCACAAACTGGGGAATTTGATGACCTTACTCAACAGACCTCTGGAAAGCTTGAATTTGGACAGCAGTCACAACACTCTCATCAGCCTTGGAGACCAGGTAGTGCTAGCCACCACTCAGCAGACTTGACTCAACAAACTGGGGAATTTGATGACCTTACTCAACAGACCTCTGGAAAGCTTGAATTTGGACAGCAGTCACAACACTCTCATCAGCCTTGGAGACCAGGTAGTGCTAGCCACCACTCAGCAGACTTGACTCAACAAACTGGGGAATTTGATGACCTTACTCAACAGACCTCTGGAAAGCTTGAATTTGGACAGCAGTCACAACACTCTCATAAGCCTTGGAGAGAAGGTAGTGCTAGTCAACACTCAATAGACTTGACTCCACAAACTGGGGAATTTGATGACCTTACTCAACAGACCTCTGGAAAGCTTGAATTTGGACAGCAGTCACAACACTCTCATCAGCCTTGGAGACCAGGTAGTGCTAGTCTACATTCAGAAGATTTGACTCAACAAACTGGTAAATTGAATGATCTTACTCAACAAACGTATTGGAAACCAAGTAGTCATAGTCAACAATCAGCAGACTTGACTCAACAAACGAGTGATATGGATGATCTTACTCAACAAACTTCTGGGAAGCTTGAATTTGGACAGAAAACAGAAGATTTGACTCAACAAACTGGGGAATTTGATGGCCTTACTCAACAGACCTCTGGAAAGCTTGAATTTGGACAACAATCACAACACTCTCATCAGCCTTGGAGATCAGGTAGTGCTAGTCTACATTTAGAAGATTTGACTCAACAAACTGGAGAATTTGATGACCTTACTCAACAGACTTCTGGGAACCTTGAATTTGGACAACAGTCACAACATTCATATCAATCTTGGAAACCAAATAGTGCTAGTCAACACTCAGCAGACTTGACTCAACAAACAAGTGATATGGATGATCTTACTCAACAAACCTCTGGAAAGCTTGAATTTGGACAACAGTCGCAACACTCATATGAGCCTTGGAAACCAAGCAGTGCTAGTCAACACTCAGAACATTTAACACAACAAACAAGTGATATGAATGATCTTACTCAACAATTCTCTGGAAAACTAGAGTTGGGACAATTCTCTCATGAACCTTGGAGACCAGACCAGTCCAGCCAACAATTAAAAGATTTGCCTCAACAAACAAATAGTAATGAACATAATTCACAGATGTCCAATGCAAATGAAGATAAACCTGCAGGAGAAATGCCTAGCACACTATTTACTAAGCCTGCTGGTAAGCCAAAACCAAGGTCCCGGTACTCAAGAGTAGGATCTGTAAGCAATCTACTAGCCCAAAATCAAAATGTATATAATTCCAACGATCAACACACTACATATTCTAATAGTGAAAATACATCTATTGGTAAGGTTCATGAATTACCTCCAAAAGTTGTTCCAGAAGCTGAAACAGAGAATGTCAGAAGTCAAAATTCCAAGGCAGATCAAAGTGTAGGAAAATCCATGGATAAGGATAAATCTGTATACCAACAAACTCAAGGTAATGTATTTGACAGTGAAGGTGGAAACATGGATCAAGGAAATTGGTTACATAAGTCTAATGATGCAACTGTAGGTTTGCACTGGCATTACACGTATCATCCCAGTGACCAAAGGCCATTTGTGCAGCAAACTGATCGAAAAGATAAAGAAGACTTGCAGCAACAATCAAGCAATCCAGATTTGTACCATTCAGAGGATAGCATGGATCAACAGGAAACACAAAATAAATATACATCTAATGATTCTTATCAACAATCATCCAATCCAGGGAATGAGAAATCAGGACCTTATCAACAATCTCAAAATTATCAAGAGACAGATAATGTTCACAAAGAAAGTCAGTTGGAATTTGGCCAACAAACATTAAGTAAAAATGAAAATGTTCAAAACCATGTTAAAAATAATGAATCTAATCTCCAGTTGGAATCAAGAATTTTAGAAGTTTATGGAGGAGGACCCTATGATGCAACCCATGATGATAATATATATAATGGAGTCACAGCAAATCCTAGTGTAACACTGCCACCACTTAATAGTGATGATCCATGGGATATTAGGGAAAAGCCAAGAGAAATGATCTTAACGCCATACGAAGTAACACCTCCACCAATGGCTGTGGTACCTTTGTCACCTGATAAAAACGACACAATGCCTCCATCATCTTTGTGGTCAAGAATTGGTAACAAAATAACAAATACTATTGGCAAAGCTAAAGAAAAAGCTAGAAACATTTTTGGTTAACTTTATGTAACATTGTTCATTAATGCATATTTAATATTATACCTATTCACTGTATAAAGTTTATTTATCAATGTTGTATGTTATACTCTTGTCATTCAGTTAATTTAATGATTTTAAGAAATTGACATAGTATTATGGAATACTATTTTAAAATTATTATGTATTGCATTATTTAAATAAATACATATCCTTTTATAATCTTCCTTTGTTTGTTCTTCTACTATGTAATTAATCAAGACTGCAAGTGTTTACTTACCTCCGGCAGATTTTTAAAGAATCTAACGAAGCTTTGTTGTCCTGGTGGATCTGAAATGTGTTTTTAAACAAATATTCATGAATTGTATTAGTAGCATTACTTAATAAAAAATTTCCATTGTGTGTTCCTAACCCATTTGAAATTGTTGATTAGGTTGTACCGCCATGGTTTTATATAAATATATAGAAATAACAGGTTCACGGGCTGAATTATAAATATGATATAAATTTCAAAGAACAATATATTATAGCTTCAAAAATACACTTTTAGAAAACGTTTTATTCCTGGCAATAACTGCAATAATCACACATTCAACATTGTTCAACATGTTCCCAGTGGGAAGCTGGTTCCCGCAAAAGCAATTCTCTCTAACTCTATACCATAGACATATGTGTATAATAGACTACGCGGTCTTATGGTAGGGATGAAGTCGGCACTAGAAAGAGAGGACAGTAACTGGAGTAACTTTCCTATCTTTCTAATGGGGCTGTTCGGAACAGCCTGTTCCTTCTTAATTCTCATTGTGCTTCAGTCGCTTTCTCCTTTCCTTCAACGATGTGCGAACGGTAAATCTGCGGTGGGTAGTGACATTAAAATGGTATGGGTCGACGTCGCCCCAGAAAAAAGAGCTGAAAAAATACATTGGATGAAATGTCTATTCCTACTACCTCGTCTGGGTCTATAGTATATCGTCTATGTTATATCACCGACTAGGTATAGGATAGACTTATTATCTTATGGGCCTTCGTGTCTCATGTTCTGAAATACCGATAGTGTAAAAAGTCAGGGATTTTCTGCTGCCCTCTACGTTATGAGAACGGTGAATTTGTGAACTACGTTAAATCGAAGAAGGGACCATGGTCGTGAACGGATTCTCTTCCGTCCGTTCGCTATAAAGTAGACGTATTAGAAAGGAGTCTTGGGTTCTTATCCCGACGGACCTATATTAGTTTTTCTTCGCGTACAAAAAAGTTATTGCGTTTAATATTGTTTTTATGGATATGTATATGTATTATTATGTACATTTGAGTAAATTATTTTATTATTCCATTGTTATTACAACAGTTTAACAATGACAAGGAACGCATGCATATTTTCAAATATCGGACTAATAGTATGCGGTGTATATATTCTCCCACATGTAGATTTGATAAACTATTTCTGAAACTACATCTATTCTGAATTTATCTGTTACAAATATACAAATGTAAGGCAAGATATAAAAACGAATAAAACAAGAACATGTAAAAAGTAACATTAATAAAAATGTCCATTAACGATGCATTTAGAATAAATTGTCTTGTAGTTAAGTGAAAAAGATATACTTTTCCGTTTCATGTTTCATGACTGTCATATTTATCCCTGAACCTTAAACTGAAGCACCGGATATTTTTATTCTCGTGAAATCATATAGATACACGTAATATGAATGGAATATATAACACTTCATTTGTGCTAATAATACTCAGAATTCATGCTTTATCGGTAACGTCGGATATTGACACTAAAATGGTAACAGGGCTACGTAGCCCTATGAACATGGGACAGAAAAAAGCATTGGATGATAGGTCTATTCTATACCTAGTCGGTGGTTATATTACAATAATAGTAGCCGCTTGATAATTGATCATCCCGGGTTGTAGACTGTAGGGGGCCAAATTTTCAGTAATTGATCAATTAACGAGCGCCAATTATCCGCTGTCCCATGGTCGTAACAGGTATACAGACTCTTGAAGGAGTTTTTTAAGTGGTACCACCGACTAGCGGTGGTGTTACATCGTCGTTCAAACTGGAATGGTGCACATGTTTGTTCCCGCCAAATCGTATT